TTAGGTGAATGCAATACTTTAAACGACAGCGCAGGGCACTGTCGGGATTTTCAGAAGCGCACCTTACGAGTACTGTGACGATAGCCTGTGATAGCGTCCATCGTAACTAGGAAGGATCTAAGGATTAATAAACATGTGAGAATTCAAAACTGATTAGTTTACACATAGTTAACACATAGTTTACACATAGTTTATTTCAAACAAGGAATACAATAGATTATTATTATTATATACCAAACTTCTTAAGCACTTTTTTCATGCAGATTGACACGTTCAAAAGTACTGTACAGTATAACGAAATAAATAATACAATAATAAAAAAAAATAATAATACAATAGATGAATTATACATTTATAAAAGTAAGGTACATGAATAAAGGCAATGAGAGCAGAAAACTATACAGAGCATACAAAGATAATCTCCTAAGTTTATACAACAAGTTGTTTACATTATTGGTACTAAATTTTTCATTTTACGAATACTTTTGGATTTAAGTCGATTTTAAAGAATTACAGTGCGTATTTATCATAGTTAGCTATTATCACATAGAATGAAGAGAATAAAGTAGACTAAAGACTGGCTTAACTGGAAAATAAACAATTTTTAATTTTTATATTAATTTTCCTAATATTTCCTACATTGTCCTAATCTTAAAATTAATTTTTAATAAATGTAACTGCTCGATTTAACTAACCTGTCGATAATATAACAGTCAGTTTATTACAACGGCTATATTCGGCCTTATATCACGAGGTAGCAGATTCGAGTCTTATTTCATTTCCAAAAAATTTAAAAAACAAAACAAAAATGTAGATTAAAAATAATGATTCACAGCAAACTTAGCAAAACATTATCATCAAACCCAACATCGCAACTGATCAAACTAGGGTTAGAATATATGTTGTATTATCTAAGATATGGTAATATTTATTTTCAGAAAGCAGAACCAAATGCGTATAAATTAACTTACAAATCAAACAACAATTAACACCATTTGAATTAATACGTATTTGACAGGTTAATAAAATCGGACAACACTGTCATATATATAATTTACACGTGACCATCGGCCTCAACGTCAGTGGTCACTTGTGCATAAACAATACATGAATATATCATGTAAGTTATAAGTAAAGAAATGAAACAAAATCTATCAAATGCAAGTCCGACATCTTTCCACGTCACTTCCTGTGCGTCACTGTCGTCTTCATCGTCTTGGTCTGTGTCGGATAGTTTCATTTCTTTTACCGGGGTAACATTTTCTAATGGTGCAACTTCCCCTTTCTTTTTCCTACAAATGAAAGCCTTTCTTATAAAAGACGGAATGTTGCCTTCCCTCTCGTAGATCTGCAAAGACAATATGCTCATGATCATAATTGCTCCACTGTATGCAAGGAGGAACAGCATATAAAAGAATAGGTAGGCTACAGGATCGGAACTTGCCGGAACTATTCCGTTAACCATCGTCATAAAAACGACGAACGCAAGGAACGCTGTAACTGCAACGGAAGTTCTTTCTCCTGCGGACGCTGGTATCAGGAAAACGAAACAATTTAATGAACCGACGAGAAAGACCGGGATGATCACGTAGACGATCATGAATGTGTCACGCCTCTCGATGTAGACGTCGAAACGAAGTACAGAATTGTTGCCACGAGGTGGGTAAGAAATAGTGTGTTTTGAGATTTGCCATAATCTGTTGCGATGGTAATAGTCAAAGGCAATTTCATTTCGATCAGAATTCAAAATCATTTCATCCTTAGAGAAAGCCCATGCTGAAATGAAAAAATTAGTATTATTAGCTAAGTATTTATAATTTATCAATAAAAAAACATTTGCACGTTTTCAAAGGTGTCAGAAATAGCTACATGTATATTCTGAAGAAAGAAATATTAATCACATCTTTTATATACGAGGACTGTCCCATAAAGTCGTGGGCAATGTCTGTAACACAAAATTATAACAAAAAAGAGAAAATAAGAATCCCTAAAGAAAGCCCAACACGTCAAAATTAAAAATATGGCAGGCTCGGTTTGATTGAGCCTGTTCATGGACAGTATTGTCAAGTGATAACTACCGTCCACGCCCCCTAGCACCGGCTTAAGCAGAATTCAACATTTAAACATGAAATGGTAAAATTTTGAATTTAGAAACATCCGCAGATGTGTTCATACGGCGGTTATCATGGAACCTTCAATGTTACACAATAGTGCCATTCCATGAAAAACGGCGTATGGTCCCCAAGTAATAAAAAGCTTGTGCCCTAAACGAGAAAACAATGGGCGGAACTAAACAAAATGGAATTTTGAAAGGGGATCAGAGGTTACGAAGCCTGCATATCACAGCTAAAACGTCAAAAGACAAGTTTAAAGTCTCGTATTAAATTTTGTCAATATTTAACTAAACAGTTGCATTATTCTTTTTGATGTGATTTTATTTTGAAATATTATTGCACGACTCGACTTTGCGTTGAAAAGCAACTTAATGTACCGTCGAAAATAAGTAAAAAGTAACTTAATCAACCACTGACTTTCTGCTTCCGTGAAATTAAAGACGCACACCCCTGTTCAGAGTAAACTGATAAATGGTTTATATTTGGAAAGCAAACGACCTAACGTCAACGTCTCAACTAAAATATGAAAATTAAATGTACAAACATACCTGAAAAATCAATTTTGCATTTCTGGACGTCGAACGGAAAGTACAGAACATACACGGAGCACAGAAGGTACAAAAGTTGAGCCGGTTTCCACGTGACAACCCCATCCGACGTCACACGAACATACTGCTCGTTTTCAACTTCAAATAAATCGTAAGCATTCAGGATGTAAACTTGTGGCGTCCATATTTTGCTTGGCGGGAACATCATCGAGGTAAGACCGCCATACTTGGAGCTGTCCCAGACTAAACGGCTGTCAACCCAGCTCATCGTTATCATAGACGTCATGTCAAGCTCGCCATTGAGCTCGTCGAACCGGTTGATGCTCACTAAGGAAAGTGAAAAATTCACTACCTGTATGACATTTGTTTCCTCAGGTCGGATGTCTTTATTATAACTTTGCTGTAAGTCATCGTACAGTTGATTCTGATCTGTAATGTTTGCAGCTCTGCATATAATGAAACTGGTTAAAACAATAGCCAGAACAATATGCTGCAAGAAGTTCAACCCAGTCATTGTAATGTGTCTAATGCGCCGGTAAAAGTTCGAATATTGTTAGAATGCATCGTACTGCCTTATATACGCGTGCATTGCTAGAGAATGTAAATAAATGAAATGGAAATTGTAAAAGACTGAATACACTGAAATGAAACATTGTTGAAATAACAAAAGCACTCATCAAGTTGTAAAAATAAGGGTTATATAATTACCTTTAAGTCTATAATTTCGTAAATCTTTCACGCGGCATTCCATGTGACTCTAGTTCAGACATTGTGACGTAGTTTAGTTATTAGGCCCAGTATTTGAAAAAGCGTCCAGCATGTTCGAAGAAATTTACTTATAGTAAATTTGATATTGACGTATCATTTATTTAGTTATATTTACAGTCACATTTTGTAAATATGTGTAAATACAAAATCCATTTGAGTAAAATTTCCATTCTTTTCATAGACGGAAGTAGAATAATTTTAAGTAAACTAGTTTATTTTAATGGCACTTATTGCCGACTCGCTGTAACTTCCGATGTCATTAAAACATTATGTTGTTTCATAACTTCCATTATATAGTCTTTCATTAAATCACGCTCATTTAGTGACCTCCGTGCGTGATTACATAAAAGGTCATGTTTATAGTTTCTTTTAATTCAGCTTGATAATTACATTTATTAAGCATCATCTTGAAAATTTGAAATATTTTATAATCAAAATTGTTTTAAAGAAAACTCAGTATTCTCTGCAGGTCAAAATAAGTACGCAGTTTGAATTTAACTCGGACCAGAGTCAATATATCTGGGGATACCGATGTTCAGAGCGGTGACATGTAGAATCAGGCGGCGTGGTAGTGCGATTGATATCTTACTAGCTTCCTTTAATTGTTATAACATATATGTGATCAAGTTTATTTCATATATATAAAAACCATTTTCATGACAATATTTTTGATGAGGTTTAAAGTATAATGTCTCAGCAACCGTATGAGCTAATTTGTTTCTTCCAATCTTGTGTAAAAAAATGGTCCATTTATAATCGCGGTGCTCGTTTTAACCACTAAATTGCACAATTCTGCAATTCTTTTGCACAATTCCTTCGTTACTTGCACATTTCTGCGTAACAGGATATACACGGTGTAATTGTTATAAGACATATATCAAGATAATGTAATCAACCGAAACGGCCGAATTATAATGGACAAATCGCATGTTTAGCACAGCTATTTTTGTGTGGAAATTGTATTTTTTGTACGATTTTAAATGATCAATTCATATTAAATCCACTGAAAATGTTTGTTGGTACAGAAGAATGATCGGATTTATATCAATGTTTACAAATACTTCACCCCAAGAGTCTTTAAACCAAAAGCACGTCTGTAATTTAAGCCATGATCCCAGTTACCACAGTCACATCACTCTAAATAGGGCTTTTATAAAACCGGCTCCAAAAAATTATATTGACCTATCTGCTCATGGAAAATGCAGTTTGAGGGGTGACATGTATCACAGAATTTGGAGGGTTAAATGTCTTGAGCGGTGGTGTGTAGTGGACGTGTCTGTAGTTCCTCCGCCAATTGACCTGTTCGAAGAGTGGTTTGCGAACATCTTACATCAACATCAAAATGAACATAGGCATGCATAAGTATAAAGGCATACTATGGACCATGTTCTAGGGTGAACAAAGTTTACCTTTACAAATCATCCTTTACTGTTTCTATTTGTGCGTAACAACGAATCAGATTTTAGAGACTCAAAATCATGCATGATTCAGGATGTTGTAGGCATATAGGTTTGTGATAAATATTTTTATCGTTTTATTAAAATCAAGTTTCTTTTAAATCATGGAAAATTCCGTGAGTGATTTTGAATTTTCCTTCTTTTTACACATTATTTACTGTATAAATAAACGCATTAGTCCCATAAATAGAGTATTAAGTATGTGTAATACAACATTTATTGAACGAGATGATAAAGATTATATACTATGCCATAATTTTGTTTTATTCTACTGTTACCAATTTTGGATATGTGATAAATAAAATATTAAAAGAGTATTATGTTCAATACTAAATTTATCTATTTATCACATATCCAAAATTGGTAACAGTAAAACAGTCAGTGGACAAGGTTCACTTTTGCCTATAGTCCTTTACTATAAAGAATCTCACGCACTGCACGGAAAAGTATCCGAAATGCTGTTCAGTTTACAAAATAAGCTTTCAAATGAAATCGGGGAACCAGGCTAACGGTCAATCGAGGAACCAGACCAACGGTCAATCGGGGAACCAGGCCAACGGTCAAAGTGAATTGGGCCATAATGGAATATATGTAAAGTGTACCATTACTTACTAATTATGCTGATATTTTTAAGTATCGTACGTTAAGAATTATAAATAATTGAGCCGCGTCACGACAAAACCAACATAATTGGTTTGCGACCAGCATGGATTCAGACCAGCCTGTGCATCCGCGCAGTCTGATCAGGATCCATGCTGTTCGCTATCAGTTTCTCTACTTGTAATAGGGTTTGTAATCGCACAGCATGGATCCTGATTTTCCAGGTATATTTCATAAGAATATGAAAATGATACATTTTCTATGGTTTTTGATTGATATATGAAATACTCGTGGAATGTGCCCATTGTAAACCAATTCACTTTAAGGATTTAAATACAATAGTAAGCATTTTGATTTATATTTTACGTCAACATACCTTAAAGTTTATTTGTAGACGTAACAGTCATTATGATGTTTGATTAGTGATGCATAAGTCTGACCTATTTTTCAGACCTGAAAATAGGTTAACTTCAGCTCCGCATTAATCTTGTTACACTGGTTGCATATAGTCAAATGGGTGCTGCTAAAAATCATAGATGAAAAACAAGTTATTTCAAAGCCTACTAAAAGTATAGTTCAATGTTGAAGTCATTAAACGGAAACTTATCATATTATCTTTGTATAACCATGGAACTATTGTTATTTGTTGTTGTTTTTTTATTTGTAAGAAAGAATTACATATTATGTAAATTAAAGAGTTTGGACCGATTTCTGTTTATGTCGCTCGGTTTCATTCGTTGCATAATCCTTGCGTATTGTATGGAAGCCTTGGAGGGTCACTTTTGAGTTTTGACTTATAGATTTATTTTACTATTTTCTTATGACTTTTGATTTATGACTTTTGATTTATGACTTTTGATTTATGACTTTTGATTTTTGACTTATGGATTTTGTTATTTCCCACGTGCTTTCCATTATAATTATAATTTCCAAGGAAAATATGGTAGAATATGACAACGATTCAGACGAGGTAAGTTCATTTACCTAAGTTTCCTGGAGACTTATTTAAAAAAACAAAATATGTGGGCTCATATGCAAGAACAGAATGTTATTCTTATATAAGCCTTTTAAATTGATTGAGAAAAGAAAATTCTTTGCTTGCATAGCATTGCATTGGGTATCCATTTTTATTTTGATTTCCGGAACAAGGATATATAATCTCAAATTGACATACAGCGTATGAATCAAACGCTTTATTTTTTATATGGGTTCCAGTTTTAAATCCAAACCAGTCTCGCATTGTTGTTTGCTGCAGTTACAATCGGTTTTCACCCGTAGTTCATTCTTCGTTCATCTAATATTGAATATAGACCAAATTATACGCCTTATTTTGACAAAGAAATTTGTGGTTAAGAAGTTACATGAAACATGGTATTTCAAAAATAATAAATCATACAGCTTTGAAACTTCACACACTTGTTTAGAACACGCTCTAAGTTAGAAATCTCTGAATTGCATTGTTATCAAATTATGCCTCTTTTTCGATTTTGAATTCATGGTTTAGAATTTTCATGAAAAATGGTTTCTCAAACACTATTGTAGCGATTCATTTGAAACTTAGAACACATATTAAGTGTTGACATCTTAGATCAATGACCAAGTTTCGTATGAGTGGCGCAAAATTTGACATACTTATGCCCATTTTTAAAGCTAAAATGTTTTGTCAGATGTGGTCCCATAAACCAGTTATGATATAATATTGAAACTTTATTCACTTGTTCAGTATCAATAACTTAGGTCACATACCAAGTACAAAATACATGTTATTTGTATATAAACTTTTGTATACAGTTATGTATTAAGGGATTTTTTGTATTTCATTTTGTATATAATTATATGTATTTCATTTCAATTGAGATAACACATACTTTTAATGTTTTCAGTTTAAATTCTAGTAAAGCTACCTGTAGGAATTAAGGACGTGCTGTCGAATGGTTTCAACTACAAAGCAGTTGCAAGAGCATCAGCAATACATATTTGTCAAGTTTTCGGAGCCAGTTTAGAAGACTAAGAGGTTTCATGGCAAAACAGCGTTCGTTTCGAGTGAGAAGTAGTACAGTTTAGCAAATGCAAAATGTCCAAACACTAGTGATTTGGTTTTCTTCGTTATTGTCTATGGAAATATTCAGACATTTTTGGAATACGAGCGTTACTTTTTCACACTTGTTTCAGACGCTCGATAATTTTCAAGTTTTAACCCCACCACTTATTGTGGACGCTTTATTGGAAACAAGCAATGTCACGTCCCGCCACGTTTATTTTATACTGTCCATACCTCCAATATGGTACAAAACTTGTATCGATATACACGTCATGGTGAGACAGAGAAAAGTGTGAAAAATCATGAATTCATAATTCTGGCTTTCATAATTTTCAGTATTTGCCCATTGTAAATTTTCAAACTTAAAAGAAAGGTATCGAAATCAAACTTTGCATGTTAATATAGCTTGGCGAGGCAGAAAGAAACATACTTCTGCTATCATAGCTACATTTTAGAAAATCCCCTTTGTTGTTGATTTTTTTTTTCATACTTAGATTTTGTTAAACTCATAATTATCTCAAAAACTGGCATCAACTTGAATTTACTGGCAGATATATCTCGGCGAGACAGAGTGCATTGTGTTGTTAACAAAACTTTTGATTATAACATTTAATCGTTCTTCTAAGTTAAACATTCCCTTTTTCGACATGCTGTGGGTTGGGGTATGCTCATTCGAAAGACTATG